CTTAAGGAGTTTTCGTTTCAGTGAAGAATTTGCCATATCGAAGGACACCGCGAAACGCATTATTATCAGAATAGCTTTTTCATGCTGTAATCTTTCCGTGCACATTGTTTGCACCAGGCGGAAGTGATGGCTCTGGGTCACCTGTTCAAGAGTTAATTCACTCAAATGACGGCTCAAAGAACACGAGTCGTCAAAGGTAATCAAGAGTGCCGATGCGCATCAAGGCACTATCACTGAGACTTTTAAGCCAACTGCCAAGTTTCCGCTTCTGCAACCCACGGACGTATATAAAAAAAACCTGGACTTGCAACGCCTTTGTATGAAATAGAAGCCAAGCAGCGGCCATTTCACCAAGCCGAATACAAATGCGCGGGTTGGCTCGCTTCTGTTGACGCCAGGGAGAACTAAAGGCGGGCATTGCCGGGCAAGCTTTGTATTCGGCTCGGTAAAATGGCCGCGAGTGGATTCAGTTATCTCTATAAGCTGATTAAGGGCATTGCGAGTCCAGATTTTTTTTTATATATGTCCGTGCTGCAACCATTGAGCTGCTTTGGTATTCCAACGGCGCATTTCCAAACAGAAGCGCGTATGAGGCTAGCCGGAGCGTAGTCTTTTTTTCCACAGCTATGAGCCAGAGACAGCTGGGTACCCCCCCCTTACCTGTCCAACCCCTATACATACTGTAGACGATTGTTACCTAACACATCCCCTCTGTAAGTCTGTAAAGAATTCCTGAGATTCCGATCAAACAATGACCAACACAAAGGGGGGGGGCAGGGTTCTATCCATCCCATATATTGCTTCAAATGTGGACAGCAAACCGCGCAAGAGGGTCTGTCCCATCATGGCAGCCACATGCCGACTCGTCATGCGCGCATTGTTTTCTCAAAAGACCGCCTTTTTGAAGTGCCAAAGTCCACTGGCTCATTAGTTGAAGATTTCGAGAAAGAAATTATGGCGACAGCAGTTATTCAGTGAAGTCATTTTAGGCAGTATAGTAAGTAAGGAGGCAAGTTTGTTGCTGGGTTACAAAGCGCCCTCTCTCAAATATATCACGGAGGTCATAAAATGCAGTCTGCACAATCCTCCTTTCACAGAGTTAAACATTTTCAATTTTTCTTCACCATCTCCGAAGGTTTCTTTAAGTGCCTTTTGGGTTTAGGCTAATGAGTATTTTCATATTCCTGAGCAGAACTTTGACGTCACCCCAGGAAGAAAGCCTCAGTTTGTCACAAAAAACTGTTCTGTTTACATTCTTTGATGGACTAAACTTTCTCTGAACTATGGCCGTATCACTGTTGTTTACCAACACAGCAATAATAAGCAAGCAACCTACCCTTTCTGAGAAATGTTTCCGGTGACTAACTTGTGGGTTTACAATTTGAACAGAAATACCTGTGAACTGAACTATGGCCGTATCCGGAACGGGATGCCAGTGCTACGACTAGGTCTACTGTCTGTGCGTCTCCACGTATTTCCAATTAATGGAGTAAAAACCTAGACCTAGGTGGCTCCAGACAGGAAATGACTAGATATTAACCCGTGAAACCTGGTCTGCTATTTTTCTCAAGACTCTTAGAGGGTA